GACGGGGGAGCCTGCCTGCGCCGCGTGGACCCGAAGTAGGTACTTTTAGTTCGATATAGGAAACGTTGACTTCAGCTACGCTATTCTCGTAGCTGAAGTTGCGTTTCCTATATCGATCCCCCGCCCCAGTGTGGACCAGCCCTTAGTGATGTTATGTAGTGTTACTTAAAGGGAATATTTTAAATAGAAACTTCAGTATGTCTTTCAGGATTCCAAGTTCGTGAGCTGTGGATTTTTTAGAGAGGCAGTGATTTCCTTTATTTTTGTTTGGCTGCCAGTGCATTTTAAGGAACAGTAGGCATAGATGGAAAGTTTTTTTTTAATTGGTTAACAGCTACCACTTTGCACTTACTTAGCACCTTATGTGCAAAGATCTTGAATCATTTCACAAATTTTATGATGCCTCATGGCATCCATGTGAGCAATGGTCAAAGTAGATCACAATAGGAGGGGCTATTCACCTATTTTTTTCCCTTGTCATCAGAGGTATTTATGTTGAGTGAAGTGGTTTTATAACACCTTGTGGCGATGGATGCAGCAAAGGGAAGAGATAGGATAAGAAGAAATGTATCTAAAAGAGGTTCATACTCCCAGGCAGTACCGTAGTCATCTAAACAAAAATAATGCTCTTGTGTCTGCAGTATGTGGAGCTGCATAGCGGGCGTATCCCTAATGCTCTTCACTTCAGTTTCTACCAGGATGAAGTCTCCGTATTGATGTAAAAAACAAACAAAATGTGACATCCTAGGACAAGCCTGCACAACTCGTAAAGCGGCGAGGGCCATATTACTCCAAAGAAAACAGCTGAGGGCTGAACCCCCCCCCCAGCGCCGCCGAAACACCCCCCATCCCCCCCGAAACACAACACCCTTCCCCCTCCCGCCCCCTCGCACATTGGTTCATTGAGGGGCAAATCCCAACTAGCCTTTATAGACCCCAGGGGCCAGCTGACCAGGTTCCTCCCCTGCCCCCTGAACTCCCCTGGAGGGTGCACAGCCCCCCCACAAGCCCTCCCCACCCCGGTGGCCCCCGCCCCGAGTCCACTCATTGGCTTTGCCGGGCTTGGGCCGCTTCAGCAGGTCGGCAGGGACGAGCCGCCTTCCGGAGGCACCGGAGAACCAGAGTGTCCCGGTTGCAGCGGCGGCGAGCCCCAGCCATGGAGGAGCTAGCGTGGTGCAGGGGGGCAGCAGCCCTGCAAAGGCGGTGGCACCACTAGCGGGGAGCACCCACGCCCCCCGCCCTCCTGCCCAGGCTGCGGCCCAGCGCGCCCCCCCCCGCCACCCCCCTGGGGGCTCCTGCAAGCTGCAGCGGATGCATGCGGGTGCTGGCCCCCCATGTGCCCCCTGGCTGCCCCCTCGCTGTGCTCATGCTCTGTGGCTCCCAGGAGTGTGAGCCACCACCACTGCTGCCCCTCCCGGAGCAGGCTCAGGGCCCCGCACCCCGGCGGCTCACATGCCCAGGAGCCGCAAAGCCCGAGGGGGGAGCCGGGGGGCGCACGGGGGCTGCTGACCGCATGCATCTGCCGCAGCCTGCAGGAGCCCCCCGGGGGGGGGGTGCGCCAGGCCTCAGCCTGGACAGGAGGAGCAGGCTGCCTACCTGTCCCCTGGCTGCCCCAACCCTTTTCCACACCCCCGCCCCCAGACAGACCACTGGGACTCCCACGCCCCATCCAACCACTCCCCGTCCCCTGACAGCCCCCCCCAGAACTCCTGACCCATACAACCCTCCTCCTGCTCCCTGACTGCCCCCCGGGACTCCCCTTACCACCATGCCGCTCCATGTGGAGCTAAACCAAACAAGCTGCGGAGCACACAGCCCCTCCCTCGCAGAGTGCTGCGATGCGAAGCTGAGGCAAGGGGAGCGGGGGAGGGACTCTGCCTGCTGGAGGCCAATGGGAGCAGCTAAATCAGGCCCAGGCGCCCAGTCAGCCTTGCCACACTCTGCATGAGTGGAAGAGAGGGGAGGGAGGAAAAATCCCGGATGCCCCCAACCACTTGGCGCCCTAGGTGACTGCCTTGTTTGCCGGCCCTAGCGGTTGCACCGGCCCTGGGCGAACCTGACAGCCCCACCCCACCGCTTGCCCGCGGGCCGCACAGTGAGCCCACGCGGGCCGGATGTTGTGCAGGCCTGCCCTAGGAAAATTCCTGTGTTTAGAAGATAACCCTTGCAAAATAGATTTTATGCCTGGAAGGGAGAGGTAGCTGGCAGGAAACTGGTATTTCTTCCTTCCCTTCTTCCTCTTTTAGGTAGGAAAAGCAGCAGTGGTGGTTTTCTCCCTTTTCCTGCTCCCTCTGTAGGGCAGAGAAGGCAAAGAAGAGGTGTCCCCTATTCTCTCTTCCCAGTGGGATATGGGAAGCTTGGGACAGATACTCCTTTAGAGGAGAGAAGGCAAATAGGAGATTCATTCTTAGCTAGGACACCTTTTCTTGCATTATCAGATGCTGATGTAGCTCCACCTGCTGCTCAGGAACCTCAGCCGGGCACTAGCTCTTCTGATTTCAGATTCCCGTGCCTAGTGAGTCTACACTTTATGAAACAGACTTAAACTGGGCAAGTGGAGGAAAGTTCTGTTGTACTGAATTTACCCAAAACCAGGTTAAGAGGAAGAGAGGGAGCTGCACTTCCTTCTGCTTGCCTCTCTCTTTAGCCCATGCCTGTGACGTAGGGAGCTGCTATATTCATTTTGCAGGTGGAGAAACAGGCACTCAAATTAAATGAGTTGTCCAGTTTGATTAATCGTGAGTGTTGGAAATAGAACTCAGGGCTCCTGGATCCCTATCCCTTGCTCTGAACACTACACCACACTCCCTTCTATATATACATAGTGGGCACTTGAGCTATGAAGTTTTCTTGGATATTTGGATGATGTCCATAGGGCACCATAGTGGTGAATATTGATTTGGCCCATATCTTGTGGGCTCTTTCTCCCTTGATGTCCATTTGACTTTCCTTAACCCTTGTACTGAATGTGTGCTTGGCTTCGGTTTCCTGTTAATTGTCTCTGCTGGCAGACCGGTACTGAGATATGATTGATGCCATTACTAAGTGCAGTTTTAAAAGAAAAATCAATGAAGTACAGTGGTATGGTAGTGGTTGCTAATGATAAATCATAAGCTGGGGATTTGAACAAGAGGGTTAAAATCTATCTGCATCTAAGTATAGAGCTTCCGGCTACTCAGTCCTATGACATTTGGAGGCAGATTTTGAAACTTTTGTTTTTTAAGAAGACTCAGCTCAGATACAGCATCTTTTCATGGAAGATTTAGGATCTGTGGTTCTGCAACACAGGAAGGGTGTGACAAGGATTTCTGGGGTAGGCCTGAGATCCTTGGGACTACACAGGGAAGATACTGTGGATCTCGGGCTGTTCATTGGGGTCCTCCTTCTTCCCAGTACAGAAGATATGGCATACCCAGGTGATGTGCAACCACTGGCTCTGCACTCACCAATCCGTATTCAGATACCTTCAACTGGTGTTTGAAAGCTGCAGAAGGGACAGCTCCTCAGGCCAATAGTAGGTTAGACTGCACAATTTGAATTATCTTTTCACCCTTCACCATCTGCTTCATGAGATTAGGGTAGTTCTTCTCTCTTGCAAGCTACTTATTTATTGGGTTAATTTGTATTCTGTTCATCGTCATCTGTATGCATTACAGAAATTAAAATGAATTGTTGCCAACAACTGGAATCAATCCAGCCTACATCCAGATTCTATCTCCCACTCCATCAACTGTTGGGCTAAATATCCTCTGGCTACAGACCCGAGTTAAAAACCAAAGAAACAAATCTCTTGCACTGCATCCTAAATATGTCTTAAAGCAGAGGGAGCATAGAGCCTTTTTCAGTTTCATTCTGGTGCCAGGCAGAATATAGAAAAGCTAGAGAATTGAAACCAAGTGTACTCTCAAACAGGAAATCCATCCGTACTTGTGCTTTTAAGATTGCTTCTCAAGGTAATTTCCTTTTGTTGAAAAGCTACTGCATAGGGTTGAAATATGCAGATGGTTTTGACACCACTGTGTCAGGATTTTGGCATTAATTCAGCAGTGAATTAATTAACAGCACACAAAGTGCTCTTCTCCCTCCCCCTCCTTCCCCCCCAGGACCTGAGAGTGCTACCTCCAGAGTGCTACCAGGCTTTGCCAACTTGTGACTGAGAGCAAGCTCCTGCATGGGATCATGTGGTCTCACAGGTCACTGGACTGGCCTATAAGTACAAATATAAAAAAACTGTGTGGATATTGCAGTTAAGTATGAAAAATGCTGGGTGAAATATGAGGCTTTAATCCTGTGTCAGGAGTAAGGACCTGCTACTAGCCTGCTTACCTACTGATTTAACCCCAGGCAGCCTAATCAGCAAAGCTGGGCCCAATTTGAGCCACCTGATTGGCTGAGGGATTTGCAGATCTACTCTTAAGATCACCAACAGCAGTAGGGTATGGGCTTCTCAAAGCGTTCGCCCATGGCTGCGATAGCTCCTGTGCTTGCTTATTCCCAGCCTTGCTCCCATCCTGTTCCAGTCCTACTCCTACCTTGGACACAGCCCTGCTCCTGCCTTGCCTCGCCTCACTCCAGGTAACCTGACTCAGACCCTGGGCTCTGGCTCTGACGGCTAGCCTTTGACCCTGGGCTCCAGCTCCTGGTTCCTGACTCCTGCTCTGACCACTAGGCACAGCTGTGCACATCCCAGTCCGTAACACCCTGACAAGGTGAGACAGGATACCATTTAAACATGTTAAAGAGGAGTTTTGAAATGTAGCTCTGAATCTTGTGTAGAAACTTTAAAGGCTTCATCTCAGATAATGAACTTTATTTTGAGCCAGGGAAATACATGTGCCTTTTCAGCGGTGTGGTAAGTATTATTTCGTGTACTCTTGGGGCTAATAGGATGGGCTTTTTAACTTTTGGTGCTAGAAATTGTGACCTAAGTAGAAATAATTTTAAAATAATCTGAGTCATATAGCTGCCCACTAAATCTTTTTTTGTTACCTTTTCAATAGGATCATGGAGTCAATAGCAGTCTGTTCCAGAACCCAGCAAAGCTCCATCTTACTATTGGGACACTAGTGCTCCTGAATGAGCAGGAGATCCAGAAGGCATGTGAACTCCTGCAGAGAAGTAAAGAGGACTTTATTGAGTAAGTGGAATAAAGGCATGGGAGGGGCATGGTCACTGAGTGCAGAATTTTGAAGAACCAAACTAGTTTTAGAACATGGGTAACTAATGCAGGAGAGAGTGGTTCATCTGTTTGTTGTAATTCAGCAGTTTTGCATCACTGTTTGAAAATGTGTAAAATACGGAAACATTTCAAACAAAACCATCCAGAAGAAAGACAAGGACATAGTTGTATTTTGCCTCAATAACTGAGGACTTTCTCTGTGTGCCAGAAACCTTCAGTGGTTATTTCTTTATATCCCAGCAGTCCCCATTATTTTACTATGAACGCAGGTTATTTTTTCCTCTGCCGGCCACAAGAGCAGGAGGAATTCAATGTCTTAACGCTTTTTGTCTGCAACAGTTTCAGGCAAGTTGCCTCCCTTCTGCCTAAGAACAGATGCAAATATACCCCTGAAATGCATTTCCTGAGGCAAGTAGCCCTGTGCAGAAAACCTTAAAGACAGGATGAACTGTATAAGTAATCAGTCTAAAATATTAGCTCAATGCTGCTATGGCACTAAGATTGTCATAATTTCCATGTTAAAACCATAATATTTGAGGTTTAGAACTAGCTGAAAGCTTGGTCTAATGGGTGTTGTACTGAGATAATCTGACTACACCCAGAAATATTAGACCGCCTGAGATATTTTATTTTCTTAAAACAAGACGTTTTTTCTTTCTGCCAAAATTTTGCAAAAACTTTTTACTATATAAAAGTATTCCTTGATTTCTGACAGCTGTGCACGAGGAATTATACATGCAGCTGCCATGAACCATCCATGGGAATCACACGTGGCTAAAATTCTCATTACTGCTTTAAAATGAAGACTCCAGACTTTTACATCATTATACAGAATAAAAGTTAAATATGATGAAACACCCATGAAAGTTTCAGCATTCGTCTTATCAGTGGAGGGGTCTGCCTTTATATTATGAAGGCTGCCATCTTCCTTGTAAACAAATAAACTGATAGAATCTTTCTCATAGATTGTCCTGGGAAAAAACACTTTAATTTTAATTCCTTAACTTACTTCCCATACCCCCAAAATTAAATATATGTTGATAGTTTTGATTTTAATTCACTTCTATTTATTTACATTTATATGCAGATGATGGATTTGTACACTACATGAAGATAAACAACAGTCTCGCATATCTTTTTAGAATGAGTACTCCTAAGAAGTGTTTTCCCCTTACCTGTATGTGCATACACTCCTGCTCCTCCTTCCCTAACTTTTGGAAGGGGGTATGGTGTACTGGAAGAGAGAGGCTTACTTACCAGAATGTTTCACTCTCTTTATTCTAATTTGGAAGTTTTGCTGAAGATCACAAAGGAGGTTTCGCTAGCAGGTGCACTGAAGATAAGCTAACAAGATTAGTACAAAGTCATACATGCATCTTGTTAACTTCTTTATATTACTTCTCCCTGCTTGAGACACTCCCTTTATTTTCTAGAAGACTTTCCAATGGAGAGAATGGAGCTTACCAACAGAGAAATCATACTCCGCCTCTCCCACCACTTCTCTGGTTTGTGAAGGGAAGTGGGGGCATGTACATATGTACCCATAAGGAAAGGGGATACACTTCATAGGAACCTAAGTGCTTGGGGAATACAAATTATAGATTGTCTGCCTGTGAAGTAACTTAAGACTGTTTCAAACAAAATTATATTTACTTTCAATATTTTTAAATGCATGTTGAAAGTACTTAAAAACTACACTCAATGTCAAGTGCTTTTCCCAGTGAAAATCCTTCACAGTTATGCTCTTCACAGGGAAAAGAACAGCCTCTGTGAAACAAGTAAGTTTAATTATTTTTATTGTAAAATTTGTAAAAAGCCAGTTCCTCTGTGTTTTGTTTTTTATTTATATAGGTCATAAATGTTGAAAAATTACTTAGTGTATGGTTTAGAGCATGTGATGAATAAGTAAAGTGCAGATTGAAATGTTTTTGTATACAGTGGTTGACTGGTCGATCCTGGGGAATCTTCCAGTCGATCGCAATCTCTGCTGGTGTAGCAGAGCTGCCGCTAAGGCAGGCTCCCTGCCTGCCGTGGCCCCGGGGCGGAGGGGGTAGGGTTCTCCATGCTCTGCTCCTGCCTGCAAGCACCACCGCCACAGCTCCCATTGGTCGGGAACGGGGAACTGTGACCAATGGGAGCTTTGGGGGAAGTGCCTGCAGAGAGGGGCAGTGAACAGAGCCACGTGCCCCCAGCCCTCCTTCCCAGGGGCCTCAGAGGCGCGTTGGCCCCTTCCAGGAACAGCGTGAGGCGTGGCAGGCACACTTACAGCGTGCAGTTCCTGGTCGGCGGTGCAGCCTTAGCGTTGCTGCACCGCCGACCAGGAACTGCACGCTGTAAGTGCCGCTCTCGGGAGGCCGCACCCCAGGCCCCAGCTCTGAACCCCCTCCCAGAGCCAGCACCCCAAGCCCCTGCCCCAGCCCTGACCACTCTCTAAGCCAGCACCCCAAGCCCCCCTCCTGCACCCAAACACCCTCCCAGAGCTTGCACCCCTCACGCCCTCCTGCACCCCTGCCCCAGGCTCAGCCCAGAGCCTCCTCCCACACAGCGAATCCCTTGGCCCCAGCCCGGAGCTCGCAACCACTCCCGAACCCCAGCCCGGTGAAAGTAAGTGAGGGTGGGGGAGAACAAGCGATGTGGGGGGGGATGGAATGGGCCGGGCTTTGGGGAAGGGGCAGGGTCTCGGGGAAGAGGCAAGATAGATCCTGGGTTGCCCTTAAATTCAAAAAGTGATCTTGGGCATAAAAAGGTTGGAGACCACTGTTGTAGTAGTTCTTGACATGGTAAGATATCAGTTGCTGCTTTTCACACAGTAAATATTGTTTTAAAATACAAAAAACTCTCCCTGTAAACATACCTTTAAAGATGTGCAAAATTGTTTCTTACAGTTCTGTGTGACGGTCACCCTGTAGAGAGGACCAGCCACAAGGTCTACACATGGCTTAAGTTCCCTTTAGGGTTCAGGGTTTTTTAACTATAGCAAGGGCTTATATGAAAAGATCTGAAAGGTTAGTCCTTTATATGGAACCCTTTAAGAAAACTCAAATAATTAGAATATGGATGAATAGCTATTTTGGGGTAAAATGTAAAGCCAGATGGTTTGAAGTGGCTAAAAACATAATGTTCTCTGAAGGGGAATTTCCCTATTTGGATAAAAGAATTTTTTAGTAGACTTGAATATATATTAATCCTTATATAATAGTGAAGAGGGTCACTCCCTTTATATATTTTCTCTATTTTAGGTTGTCTCCACTATATGAACTCTCAACACATGGGCAGAATAAATAAAAGGATACCATTTTTGTTTAAATATCTAATACACTTTCAATCCCCCAAAAGTCCCAAATTCAGTCACTGAAGGGAAGAATTTTATAGGTTTATTGCAAGCAAGGTCCTTTCTGAATAAAAAAAAAAAAAAAATATTTATAGCTGTTTCTGACACACAATTTCAAAGTGGGGCCTTAATATTTTGAGGGAATTAATGATGATTATTCTTAAACAGGCATTTTTATGAATCTTATGGGGATTATATAATGGCATCAGTCCATATGCAAAACTTCCCCAACTTAGAGTTCTGTTTGTACGTTGATGATAGAGTATGGGTTAGTCTGTTTGTTGATCTCTTTTCAATTATAACATCAGATATCCAGTGTACAATATAGGTCTCCATTTCAGCTCTCCAATGGCATTTTCATGTGTTCTGAGGGTTCTCAATGCTCTGTAAACTTTTCCTCTGAGTATGTCTGTTAGCATGCAAGCAAATGGAGCCACCATTCTGCACTCAGCAATAATCTACACATAGCCAGGGACACTCTAGAACCTGGCTTGTTAGAAGAGAGAATGTTGGTCAGGGCCCTGTTAGCACCTACTCTCTCCAAAATACTTCAAGATAAATACGGAAGAGACCACAGTTCAAGGCATCCTTGAAATGACAGCAGGCTTAGTAACGAAGGACCTACCATTTTATTACTGGACCGAATATAATGGGATATAAATCAAAGACCTATTGATGCTTTAGTCCATTACTTTCTGTCCCAGAAATGAGCGCTTAGCAACTGAGCCATGCTGAATTGTCGTCATGAGAGAGGAAGTCCATGCATGGGGCCTGCAGAGTCAGAGGGCAAGGCTTTCATTCTGGATACAGCAGGCACAGCTGTGAAAGGAACTGGCTGCTTTCCAGCACTGGCTAGGTTCTGGAATGAAAGTTGGATGTTATGTTCTTGGAACTGCTGCGTTCCTCTCAGCATAACAAAGAGGGAAACTGTATTAGTGATTTGGCCTGTAATGGTATTAGTGATTTGACTCTGGCTAGCATTTTTACAAGCATTGCTGCTTGACTTTTGTAGTAGTTGTGGGAGCTGCTAGTAAACTTGAATGAGGGTAAATGTAGCTTAAACAGTAAAACATGCATTCATCTACTTTTGTATTCAAAATTGATGTTTTTTTTTTTAAATATCTTGGAACTTTTTGTTTTTTAGCAAAACTGTTGGAGGCAAATCCCTGACCGTGGAGGTGGCAGGGATAGAATACATGAATGATGACCCTGCCATGATCGATGTTCTTTATGCAAAAGTTCACATGAAGGATGGATCAGACAAGTGAGTTCCCTGTGCTTTCCCTCTTTCATTCCACAGGGGTATGCAGACAGTACCTGAGGAGGCAGAAATAATGTAATGAAAGCAAACTTATTGTTCTCTGAGCTGATGGGCAGTGCTGGAGAGCTTCACACTAACAATAGAATCTCAGGGTTGGAAGGGACCTCAGGAGATCATCTAGTCCAACCCCCTGCTCAAAGCAGGACCAATCCCCAATTAAATCATCCAACAGATTTTCCCCCCATATCCCTAAATGGCCCCCTCAAGGATTGAACTCACAACCCTGGGTTTAGCAGGCCAATGCTCAAACCACTGAGCTATCCCTCCCTCCCAGAAGATCCAGAAGATGAGGTGGTACTGCTTTCTAGCCCAGTGGTGTTAAAGCTGTGATGTGTTTGGTCTTTAGATTGATTGTTGGTAGTGTTGCAGACAGATGTCATTTGTTTTTAGCAGTCTTAATAGTTGAATAATGGAGTCAAGCAAGGCTGAGCTCATGCTCCCCTGTGCTGGGTAAGGGAAACTATGATAAGCAGGGCAGAAATGATGCTCATGGGATGGTACAGTGCGCAAGATGACTTGTTCCCAAATACCCAGCTCTCCGCCTACAGTCAAGTCCCAACGAAGTGTATTGATCTGATCACACTGACAGACTCTGCAAAATTAAAATATTCCTAAAACACTAGTATGTTTTCAGTTCTTATGGTTGTGAAAAAAAACATGCCAAGTGTGACCTTGAACCAGATTGGTTGTTTTTCTGTGTCTGTAGGCAACCTGAAACTTTACCTCTTAGCGGAGTATGAACTGTCCTTATACTTATAAGTGTTAAATGCTGAATCCTAACAATGTCAGTTTGAATTTTAGTATTTTTAACCATCATTTGCTGATCACATTATAGAAAATACCTGATGTAATGGCAAGTAAGGTAATGTTGGGGACAGCCTTTCCCCTTACTTTTGAAAAGTGCATTGTTGCACCATCCTTTTCCTTAGAGCCCTGTAGAAAGGGGGTAGGAGACACATGAGTTCCTGTGCTTTCCGTGCTCGTGAGAGGGGTAGGGAGACAAGTTGCTTTAGCTTTCCATTTCCTTGAGGCGTCACCTTTTGTCATCCTTCCTTCTGTAAGTGGCTTTCCTCCTCGCTGCAGTACAATGGAGAGCCAAAGAGGGGAGCTGGGAAGGAAGCACAGTTAGCAGTTAGGGAGAGGAGGAAGGAAGTTGGTGCTGAGAAGGATCTTGGGCCAGAGAAGGGGATCTATTCTTGTAAACTCCCTTCCCCAAGGAGATGAAGAGGGCCTGTCAAAATTTTTAAGGAAGCTGGATTGAGGTAGGAGCTGGGATGGAGTATAGGCGGTGCCAGGTTTACAATGGCGCCAGTGGCTCCGTGGAGCCAGGCCTATGCTCAGAGGGGGCCACAGCCTACTCCACTCGTACTGCGCCCCGAGACCCCGCTCCTCCCCCCGCCCACCACTTGTTCCTCTCGGCCTGCCTGCCGGCTGGCCGAGGGCTCCTCTACACCCCCTGGCCCCACACCCCTGCTCCTCTCTGCCCCCTGGCAGGACCCCAGTGCACCTCTGGCTCCAGGCCTGTGGGGCCCTGCCTGTCTTCCCAGAGCTGAGCCACCTGGGACTGGTGCAGAAGCCTGGCCAGTCTCAGTGTGGGGGGCTTGGCTGGGCCCCTCCAGGCAAGTGCATCTTGAGGGAGCCCAGCTGGGGCAGGCCTTAGCCTGGCTGATCGCACCACTCCTGAAGGGACAGAGCAATTCCTGGCCCCGGGACCAGCCCTGGCTGCACTACCGGCTCAGCCCAGCAGACACAGTCACCTCCCAGTAGGGCCGGTGAGTGCAGCTGGGAGGCAGGGAGTGGGGGAGTGGGTCTCTGGGGGGGCGGGGGGGGGGGGGTGCTGGGCTGTGAGGGGGCAGGGAAGATGTGTGTGTTGGGGCAATAGGGAGTGGGGGTTCTGTGAGGGGTGCTGGGCAGTTGTGGGAATGTGGGCAAGGGAGTGCTGGGCAGGGGTGGTGTTATGCAGGGTGCTGTGCATTTCTGGAGGTGCGCTGGGCATAGTGGGTCTGGGAGGGCTCTGGTCATAGGGTGTTGGGCAGGGGGGTTTTGTGGCAGGGGCCCGCCCCCCCCGAGGGGAAGGGGCATGCTGGCATCACAGGGCCACTGTACGTCTGGCAACTGCCGGTTTGTAAATAGTGCCCTCTCACTGGGCTGGGCGGAGCGGGGCCACCCCTGTCATGCCATGCCCCTGGCTGGCCCCTCGGTCTGGGGACTGACCTCCCTGCGCTATTCTCCATTGCCTCAATGGGGGCCCACAAATATGTTTGGCGATAGGCCCACAAAAGGTTATCTGGCCCTGAGTATAGGGTGAGAGTAAAGCTCAGAGCTGGGAAATTGAGAGTTACAGGGTGGCTCACCCTTTAGGGGTTGTAGGAACCACGCCTGGGGGAGAGTCAAAGAGCAGGAGTCAAAGGGTGGGTGGGTGGGAACAGTCTGTATGTTCACAGAAGTGTGTCAGCCTGGGTGCTTGAGGTGAGGGAATGAAGTGGGGCTGTGATGGTCACAGGAACCCCTAATGTGATTGAGCAGAGGGAGGAAATAAAGCCACAGTTGGTTGCTGGGAAATGTGACCAAAATGTGGGGAAGCCCAGAGAATGGCAGGGTTGTATTAGTTTTCGGGAGAAGGGGACAAACACTAAGGCTGCAGTGAAAGTGGATGTTGCAGTCATGGCAGCACCTCTTACGTCTGCCACGATGTGCAGTACAGCACTGGGAGGAGAGGCCATGGGAAGCCTGACTTATCCGCACAAATGAGCTGTTATGGAGGAAGCCAGGCAGCTAGCCCTGAGGGAAGGGAACGAGCTGGCCTGTTACAGTGGCACTCGGCTTTCACACACAACCCTCCCCCTTCAGATTTGAAGTCTGTTCTGCAGATAGAAAAGGAAGGAAAGACATTTATTTTCTTGGAAGATCCCTAAAAATTGCCCACACTTCCTTTTTCATCCTGAAACTTCAAAGGATGCTTTTTTGGCCAGTTGGTCACCTCTAAGTAGTAGTAAATGGAACTATCCAAATCCCTCAGTTTTGCTCTGATTAGAGAGACTGCTGTTGAATAATGCCAAGCGCCTCTTCTCCACTAAGAGCTGATGATGCTGATTCAAGTGGTGGTACTTTCTGCCCTGAGAAATATGTGGCAGTACAGAGTATTGCTTCTCAGCTGCAAGGCTAGTGCTGGAAGAGGGATTTAACGAGGATAAGGGTATCCACATGGTTTGCTATGCCAAATTAGACCCTTGGTCCAAGTTTGGTATCTTGCTTCTCGCAATAGCCAGTAAGTGAACCACAGAGGAAAGTTTACCTTCCTATTTCCTCCCATTCCACATAAGGCACCTAGCTAACTGTACTATGCTGTACGTGGCGATGTCAAGGGTGGAGTTCCTGCCTGATCTTCGCATGTTCTTGATCAGCTTATGCTATAAAGCAGATTTGATTTCCCTATCTTAGCTTGCATAACCATAGGTGGTATTAGATACAAGAGCCCTTCTGCATCTATACTGGCTCAGCCTAAGAGAGATCATGTTCTGATGCTTCCCACATGGCAAATACTCCCATTATAATTCATTCTAATTTGTTATATTTCCTTGATTAACTTTATAACATAATAAAGCACCAGTTTTACTTGAGCTGTTCCCTGTTAATTTGTTTTAGTATTGTCTGTAATGATATTCATTTAATCTTTGTCATTGCTAATTGTAAAAATCGCTGATGTAAAGCCAGAAGGTAAGTGACTAAAAACCATGACAATCAGTTTGAGTGTGTTGAAATTATCATATGACCAGTGGAAGCGTATAAGAGGCAGCACAAAGCCAGTAAGTAGGCTGTATAGTTAAATTCTGAGGGCTCAACAAGTGATATTTGGAGTTGGTTCTAATACTGCTCTATGTCTGTCTTCCTGATTGGAATTGAGAGACCCAGGTTGTGGCATCTAGTGGTGAAATGGGGAACTATCGAGTGAATTGTATTCATGGACATGGATGGTAACCATTTAGTATGCTTATATCTTGTTTTAATGCAGGGGTCGGCAACCTTTCAGAAGTGGTGTGCCAAGTCTTCATTTATTCATTCTGATTTAAAGTTTCGTGTGCCAGTAATACATTTTAACATTTTTAGAAGGTCTCTTTCTATAAGTCTATAATATATAACTAAACTATTGTTGTATGTAAAGTAAATAAGGTTTTTAAAATGTTTAAGAAGCTTCATTTAAAATTAAATTAAAATGCAGAGCCCCCTGGACTGGTGGCCAGGACCCGGGTAGTGTGAGTGCCACTGAAAATCAGCTCGCCTGCCGCCTTTGGCACACGTGCCATAGGTTGCCTACCCCTGTTTTAATGGATAGGAACTTTGGGTTGTATTGAATGCTCACTGCCTATAGTGTGGTGAGGCATTACTTATGTTGTGAAGGGCGAACAGTATGAAAAACCTGCAGATATTTAGAAAAATACATCCTTCAAATTCCAATATAATCTACCACATCAAATCGTGTAAATGTCCTAGTATGCCAATGTCCTCTTTTAATGAAATATTTGTAACAGAAGTTATTATCCAGGAGCCTTTGCAAACAGCCAGAACTTTTATATTTGTTTCCTTATTTGCATGAGCGCTCCTTTTTCCCTGTCCCCTCAGACATTACCAAAAAAGAAACAAAAAACTATCCTGTCTCTAAATACAAAAGCAACTGAGTAAAAACAAAAACAAGGAGTTAGTCTTGCCTGGCAGGATTTTGATTAGTCTGTTATCTTTCCAATAGAGTTTCACTCAGTTTTTCCTCTTCACATATCGAGACTTCATTTTACACATACACTACCCTCTTTTGGACAAGAGAGTAAAAGTGGCCAAAACAAGTATTTTTCTCTTGGCTTTGTAAAGTCCTATTTCTTCCCCCCCCCCACCTTCTTAGATTACAGCTAATAGCTGATAGACTCATGGAGCAGTTTGTGACCTCTGGGCTGATGATGAAGGAGTGGGATAGGGTGAAACTCCATGCTACCATCATGAACACTGTCTTCAGGAAAGACACAAATCGTGAGTATCTTTAGAACCCTTTGGAAAATCTGAACTACAGTAGTACCACTGAACTGGAAGTGCTGTGTTCCCTGGTATTGTGTGTCTAGGTATTGCTGCAGTTCACTTCATAGCATTCATTGGCTCTGGGCCAAAAGATAATTGATTCAAGTCCTACACTAGTACACTCATATACACTGCCGTTGCATTCAAGTGCAGTAATAGCAGGTGTGCTGCATTATTATTTGACCTTCAATGAGAAGTTAAACCATGGCCCTATATAATCATCTCTGGGGGAGAAGTTAAAGATTCCATATGACTTTTGAAAATAGTTCCATTGTTTTCATCAATATTCCCTTTCTTGTTAAATGAGGTTCTGCTGTCCAAGGCTGAATATGAGCTATTGCTGAGTGCCTAATGTCTGCTATTTCTGCCAAAACAGTATCTGCACTTGCAGGCTGTAACTTATTTCTTATCTAACTCATTACTTTATAAAGCACTCTAAGATGGCTTGCATATGGAAGATGCTATGTAGTAAAATCAGACCATAGGGGTGTCAATTAGGCATTGAAAATTAGTGGAATTTTTTTGACAGTTTTGGCCTTAATCTTCCGGTGCCTGAGTTCACCGGTTATAAAATGAGGATAGTAATACTATCTGTTCTCAGACAGGTGTTCTGATGATAAATTCATTAATGTTTGTGAAGCACTCAGATACTGTGGTAGAAGCACCATAGAAATGTCTATGAGGAAACAAATAACTTTGTATTCAGTGCAGCAGGGTTTGGATGGTCTATGTTAAGTGAGGCCTTGGACCATACATTAAATGTTGATAAAAAGAAATATTGAATAACTATCCTTCACTGAATGAGGAAGAGGTATCTTATGGAAAAAATAGCATGTGATCACATACTTAAAGACAGTATTATTGTGCATACACACAAGGTTGCAGTTCCTAACATTTCTGGACATGACTGCAACCTTAATGTTTGTTTAATGTATTTCTTTTGTTTGTGTGTTTTATTTTTATATATCTATCTATATGTGTGTGTGTGTATGTGTATATATATAAGTATGTGTGTATGTATATACATATATATATATATACTTATATATATAAGTATATATATATATATATATATAAATAAAAGTGCAGGGACATTTCTCAGAGACCAGTCCAGATTTTCTAGATGCTGTCAAGAATGTGCTTTGCATTATGATCATATACGCAGTAAGGTACTTTGTGGTATCCCAGGAGATGCATGAGCTTGTCATTGCTGAATTTCTGACAGGCCAGAGAAATTGGAATCTGCTTTCCCTGGCTGATTCTATTACATTGTGCTGTCAGCCTTACAAAATCCTCACAACAATATTTGTGATTTGGGGTGTTTCCTTTTTAAATTAAATTGCAAATTTTGCTTACATAAAAATGAAGCGAGACTTGTGTACTAAATGTTTTATTAACTGGATACATAGACTTTAGAGGGGGAAGACAGTGCAAAGTATCGTCCTATCTGAAGTTCTCTCTCATGACTTTTTCACAGTTGAAGAGCAAGATAATGCAACTACAGGCAAATCATCTTTCAAGGAACGGGAGACATTTGATGGCCGAAATATACTGAAGGTCAGTGCTAACTGGACATTGTGACTTAGCTGGGTTGTGGTACTGTATGTACAAAATAAGGTGAAACTTCACTTAAAAAATGTGTGTGTGTTGTGTACTTGATCTCCAGGGGAAAAATGTATTTTAAAAATAAACAAATCTAGATAACTAATAATTGGAAGTATTGTGGTATTTATACACGCCTTCTTAAGGCCAGTGAGATTTTAGAACAAAGAACGATGCATGTGGAAAAGATACTTAATAGGCATATATGTTGTGGTTTATGATAACAATGCTTACCCTTGGAGACTTGCACCCATATTTTTCCATAGGTCAGAATAAAAAATTACTTTGTTGCTCTTGTAGTCACTAGTTAATACTCCCATCAGTTAAACCAGTTGTCACATCATACATTTTTATCATGAATTTTTGCTGAACAAAATAAAAACATCCAAGATTGGAATAGCGGGGGGAGGTCTCAAGTCAGGATTGAGAGCATTGGCAGTAATCTGAGAGAGTCCAGGACGGGCATACCAGACAATGCAGGTTTTAGCCAGTGAAACCCCCAAGAGTGTGAGGACGCTGTGGCCTTAGGTTTTAGGTAGGAATCAAGACACATCAAGGGACTTGTGGGCATATGAGGAGGGAAGAGCTACTGGGAAATCATAGCAGTTTTTTGTTTTGCAGGATCAGTGTATAATTTCATAGATATTGGTGTTAAATGGGTAGTTTAATGAATGGTGGCTTAAACACTGAGAGGGGAGTATCTGCATCCCAGATGGCAGAGGACAAAGGGACAGTAAATGAAGTAAAGCTACTATTCATCCCAAAATGTTGTGGATATTGCATCATGACTCAGCTTTGCCGTATATTGAAGTGACATACATTGAGGCAATAAGAACACAACCATTGCATTGCTCTTGATGTGATCTAAGATTGTGGTGGGCTCCCAAAATCCTAAAGCTGGCTCTAAAAACAGAGGCTACTGCATGTCAGAAGTGAGGTGTACTGGCATGTCCAAGGGGGAAGCTTCCAAGGTACCAGGCCACATTATGCCTAGCTTAAACCACATTCCCAGTCCTTCATTACATAAACATTAAATTTGTCCTCAGATTTTAATGAGAGAGAGAATCCAACTATCCTTTTTTCTTTATATTTTATCCAAAAAACCTCAATGCTTTTTAAGGAATAAAAGATGCTCCCTCTGCTTGCCCCACAATTTATAGATTGCTACACCACTGTGTCTTAGGGACTGTCTGCTCCAGTGATGTATGGTATGTAAAAGCAGGGAAACACATCCAGTCTACCACAAATGTCTATTTCTCATTCTGCTGCACTCTGAAATATGAGACAGTGTCTTTTTAAAACTCCCAATTGATTTGTACTGTTTTAGCAAGAAGAACTATTGGCTGTTGGAGCATGAAAAGACTGTTGATAACTACTTCAAAGCAAGTTTGTTGTAAGAAATGTTGTCATTCTCCTCTATCCCCATCACATTCCTGAACCTGGTCACTCAGTATTTCCCTTTTGTCAGCCACGTGCCTGTAGCAACATCTGTTGGCACTAATTCATTCTATGACTCATAGTGGGCTGCAGGCTTTTCAATAGTAGAGCTCTGCCAGAACCAGCCATCGATCTAGCGATGCATTCCAACTCGACCTTGCAGGGATGTGCTGGTTCTCTTCCCACATCCCCACTTCCCTCATTTCATATACATTATTTACACTCTTCTCCTCAGGAGGTTGCCCTTTTGCAAAGCGGCTTCATTAACTTCTGAAATAGGATCTGAATGACAGACTGATAATTAATATACTGCCACTACTCATGCTGGTATTCCAGGGCTATTCTGTTGTCCAAGTGCAGTGTGCTATACAAACTTTCTCTTTTCCATACTCCCCAAACTTGATCCTCAAGCATTCTCTGAAATTATTTGGTTTGATAGCATTGTTTTCATAAAGGAAGTTGGTAAGCAGAGTGGGGAAATAATACTATAGAAATGAGCTAAATCACCACATTGGAAAACTTAGTTTTATTCTACCCATCCTAGTTTTCATTGGGCAAACAATACCACAGCACTGTTCATCATAAATGACAGACTTTTGTTCGGTAGAAGCCAAAGACTGGAGTATTAAAGGATACTGCAGGTCTGGATTGTGGTTCATTGTCACAGTCATATGGAGACTCAGGACATGAATGGCAGGGGTAAGTAAGTCAAGGTTGATGTGTGTGCTTGCAAAGAACTTGCCTACCTCTAGCTAGTGTATTTAATCTTACTTCCTGAGGAAATATTTGACAGTCTGTACCCCTGTATTCACCCTGGCGCACTATTGTGATAATTTTTGTACAAAGTATGCCTTGTAAGGTATCTTTTGAAAACTCAGAATGTGCTGGTCGGTAGTGTCCTGATAAAATATGTGGCAGCGTATGTAAAGTTATAAGATTCCACTGTATGGTGTTACTAAGACTTGTTTCAAGTCTGGGGCGTGTTCAAACCAGTTCCTCTGAGACAGAGGGCAAGCTGACACCTCAGCCAGGTATAAACAAGGTCAAATGGGCCATCACCTGTTAAGTGGCTATTTATTGGCAGGAAAGGGGATATGGGAAAAAATCTACATCTTGGGGAACTTCTACACTTAAAATCTGCATCGGCGCAGCTGCAGTGCTTTAATGTAGACGCTCTAAGCCGATAGGAGAGAATTCTTCTTCGAGTGATTGCTCATGTGTATTCCACAGTAGGTGTGCGTGCTTGCCACGTGCACCGGTGCCGGAAGTTTTTCCCCTAGCAGTACCCGTAGGGGGGAGCGCCCCCCGTAACCCCTGGAGTGGCGCCTGCCTGGTGCGGTATAAGGGGAGCTGCGCCCCCTCCGGATGCCGTCCATGCCCGAAGCCCTCCAGGCGGCCCGGGACGTGTTGTCCATGCCGGTGCCTGGAGCGCCGCCAATGTCGGCCCCACGCTCCAGAGGCAAGCCTCCGCTGGGATCTCCGCAGTCGCCCCCGGCTTGGTACCGGTCTCGGTTGAGGGAACGTTCCCGATGCCGATCACCGCCCAGCGTCCGGTCACGGCAGAGTCCACGTGGATCACCCTCGACGCCAACCAGACTCTTGGGCTGGGCTCCATCTGGCCAGGACTCGCGGCACCGGTCCTCTTCAGAGAGCGGATATCGACGGGACCACGGTGGACATTGTTGTTGGTCGTCATCCCGGAGAGGGTACAGCAGTCAGTCACGGCACGGTCATCGATGCCGTTTCTGCTCGGGCTCCTGCTGCAAGTCTCCGCTAAGGCACCGCAGCCCTGGGTGTCGATCGCTGGCGCCTCACCGTTGCGGGTCTGCCCGTTGAGGCCATTCGCGGACCAACCATTACCGTCGGTACCGGTCCTCCCTGTCGAGATCGCGGTCCCGTGACCATCGCAGATCCCAGCACTGCCGCTCCTCCTGGTCAAGAGACAGCAGCAGATCCTACATCAGCCCGGTCTCCATTTGTGGCCAGACCGGCCAACCTGGGCAACCGGCCCCGCCGGTGCAGTGGCACTGAGTGTCGTGGCCGGCCCAGTGGTACCAGTGGGCACCATGGCCCCCGGTGGGAGCTCGCTCGGTGGCAGGAGCTTCGGAAGCACCATCGGCCTCCCTCTTCCGACCCTTGACAAAGGAGTTGGTGGGACGATTGTCCTCGGTACTGTGCCTGGAGTCCGACCAGGTGGTGGATCCTCCGGTGCCGCCCAACACCCAAAGCACCGCACTGGTCTCTTCGCTCTGCCCAGAAGAGGCGATTGCAGCCCCGCTTCCCTCCATCCCACAGGAGGACTTCAGGGCCCACCAAGAGCTCTTAAAGAGGGTGGCAGCAAGCCTCCACCTCCAGGCAGAGGAGATGGAGGAGCCCTCGGACTCCCTGTTCAATGTGTTGTTCCCATCAGCACTGGGTAGGGTGGCCTTGCCGCTCTATGAAGGGGTTGCTAAAATTTCAAATGCTCTGTGGCAAACACCGGCCTCGTTGGCCCCTATATAAAAAAAGGCAGAACGCAAGTACTTTGTACCCACTAAAGGGCATGAGTATATATATATACCCACCTGGCACCCAACTCCCTGGTGATCGAGTCAGTCAACCACAGGGAACAACAGGGTCAGCCAACACCAACCCCAAAGAACAAAGACTCGGAGGCTGGACTCTTTCGGAAGAAAAAATTATTCGTCCTTGAGCTTCTAGTTACGAGTGGCAAACCATCAGGCCCTCTTGGGTCAGTACGCATTTAATCTGTGGGGCTCCCTGCCTAAATTTGAGGTCTCCCTCCAGGAGCGCAATAAGAAGGAGTTCAGGGCGCTTATGGAGGAAGGGGCAATGGCAGTTCGGGCTTTCCTGCAGGCTGTCTCGTCATGGCTCCTGCTCTCCGGGCTCTCCAGCGAGGTGCAATCTTCCTTGCAGGGTCTCCCGTTTGATGGGAAAGCTCTGTTGCAGAGGAAACAGATACAAGGCTGCATGGCATAAAGGACTCCCGCACGACCCTCCAGACCCTGGATCTCTATGTCCCGGCTCCGGCAAAACCTAAGTTCAAGCCGCAGCAGACTCCGACCCTGGCCACCCTCCTGAAGTAAGAGGCCGCCCATAAGAAGCAACGGGACTATAAGAGACGCCCTCACAGTCGGTCTCGGCCTGCCCCCCAGCCTGGACCCTCCAAGGGCAAGCAGGTGGGGAAAAGGCAATTTTGACGGGATGCTCGGGGGCAACTTGCCAGTCCTCATCAGGGATCCAACCCCAGTAAAAAGCAACCAAAAGTCCTGTGGCACCTTATAGACTAACAGATGTATTGGAGCATAAGCTTTTGTGGGTGAATACCCATGTGAATACGCATGTGAACCCAAGAGCATCTGACGAAGTGAGTATTCACCCATGAAAGCTTATGCTCGAATACATCTGTTAGTCTATAAGGTGCCACAGGACTCTTAGTCTGGATCTGTAAAAAGCAATAAACACTGCCACCCCTCTGATACTTAACCCCAGTAAAGCTTCCCTTCTCCAACCAGTTGTATGCTTTCCTTCCGGAATGGTCTTGGCTCACTTTGTACCGATGGGTCTTCAACACCATCTCCCAGGGTTACACGCTCCAGTTTACCTCCTCCCCTCCCAACCACCTCCTGTCCCTCCTGGGGGACCCCTCGCACGAAGTTCTGCTCGAGCAGGAGGTGGGGCGGCTCCTAGGACTAGGAGCGATAGAGGTGATGCCCGAGGAGTTCATGGGCAAGGGGTACTACTCCCGTTATTTCCTTATCCCGAAGGCAAAAGGGGGTCTCAGGCCCATACTGGACCTACAGGGTCTGAACCAGCACATGGTGAAGCTCAAGTTTCTCATGGTCTCCATGGCCTCCATCATCCCCTCCCTGGATCCCGGGGACTGGTATGCTGCCCTCGATCTACAGGACGCGTACTTCCATATCCACATATTGGAGGGGCACAGGCGCTTCCTCCGTTTTGTGGTGGGACAGAATCATTACCAATTTACGGTCCTCCCATTTGGACTGTCCACTGCCCGCAGAGTGTTTACAAAATGCATGTCGGTGGTAGCGGCCTACCTCAGATGGCGGGGGGTACAGATATTTCCCTATCTGGACGATTGGCTTGTCAAGGGCACCTCCTGGTCGCAGGTGAGGGATCATGTGGCGCTCCTCCTGTCCACGTGCACCGCCTTGGGCCTACTGGTAAACAACACCAAGTCCACGTTAGTCCCCGTCCAATGCATAGTGTTTATTGGGGTGCTCCTGGACGCAGTGTCAGCCAGGGCTTCCCTCCTGCCAGACAGGTTCGAGACCCTGAAAGGTCTCATCGACTCGGTCACAAGGTTCCCGGTGACAACAGCCAGGGTTTGCCTGCAGCTCTTGGGTCATATGTCGGCGTGCACATATGTGGTCCGTCATGCCAGACTCAGGATGAGGCCCCTCCAGCTCTGGTTGGCCTCGAATTTCTCCCAGGCCACGGACAGGATGGAGAAGGTCCTCACCGTGCCGGATGCGGTGATTACCTCCATGTGATGGTGGTCCACCCCGAACGACATGCTCCAAGGGGTCCCGTTCAGGGACGGGGCCCCGTCGCTGGAGCTGGTGTCCGATGCATCGGACCTGGGTTGGGGGGCCCATGTGGGGAGCTTTCAGACCTGAGGCCTGTGGTTGGCTCAGGTTCTGACCCTACACATAAACATCAAGGAGCTCAGAGCGGTGCGGCTGGCGTATATGGCCTTCCGCTCGCACCTGGAGGGCAAAGTAGTCAGGGTCCTCACAGACAACACGGCCTCGATGTTCTATATCAACAGGCACGGACAACACTCCTCTGCCTCGAAGCCCTCAGGCTGTGGGACTTCTGTACAGCCCGCAACATCCACCTGAAGGCCTTCCACTTACCGGGCGCCCGCAACGAGAGGGTGGATCACTTGAGCAGGGACTTCTCCTTGCAACACGAGTGGTCCTTCCACCTGAAAGTGGCCCACTGGGTTTCCGAAGGTGGGGAACTCCTCAAGTGGACCTATTCGCAACTCGACAGAACTGGCAATGCCCCTGGTTCTGCTCCGGAGGGGCCTGGGGAAGGGCACTATCTCTGATGCCTTTCTCCTGTCCTGGTCAGGCCGGCTTCTCTACGCCTTCCCCCCGTTCCCTCTAATCAGCAGGGTCCTGGAGAAGATAAATTCGGACAAGGCCCAAGTCCTCCTGATTGCACCAGCATGGTCCAGGCAGTATTGGTACGGGACCCTCACGGGCCTGGCAGTAGCTCCGCCGTGGCTGTTGCCGCTCCGCCCGGACCTGCTCTCACAGGACCAGGGCCGCCTCCTCCATCCCAACCTAGCGGCTCTTCACCTTGCAGCGTGGCTGCTCAATGGTTAGGTGGAGAGGAAAGGACGTGCTCAGAGCAAGTTCAGCACGTCCTCCTCGGAAGTAGACGGCCCTCCACTCACCATGCATATTTGGTGAAGTGGTCCCGGTTTGTAGGTGGGTGGCAGACCAGGGTGTCTCCCTGGTGACCGCCCCGATCCAGCTTATCCTTGATTACCTCCTCCACCTGAGGGCCCAGGGCCTGGCGCCCTTGTCCGTCAAGGTGCACCTGGTGGCCTTATCGGCCTTCCATCTGCCAGTGCAAGGACACACGGTGTTTTCCCATGCTATGATTGGCCGGTTCCTTAAGGGTCTAGACCGTTTTTTCCCGTATTCTAGACCCCCAGTTCC